ACTCAGAGCCTGTGCTGCTGCCCTTTAGCTTTTCATTGAAGGCTAGAATTCTACTACTTGAGCCAAAGCTCCACTTCTGGCTTTTTAGTGATTAATTGGAGATAAGAGTCTCACTGAAAAGGAGGAAGTAACAATACTTGATAGGAAATGTACTCATTACCTTGCTCATGTAACTGTAACCCTTCTATGCAGTATTTTTACAATAAAAAAATATTAAGAGAAAAGAGTCTTTTTCTGCCTAGGCTGGCTTCAATCCACAATCCTCAAATCTCAACTTCCTGAGTAGCTGGGATTTATAGGCATGAGTCAACAACACCCAGTGTATGCTTTTTGATTATGGAAAAAATGTTTTGTTTTCTATGTGCACAAAAGATGCTTCCTGTGGTAATTGAAAAAAAAAACCCACAATTTGACAATATTTAAGAATTAAAACAGATTTTGTGTAATGACCAAATCAGGACTATTATCATATGAAGATGAATAGATCCTCATACATAGTGCTCAAAAAAGCTACAACACTGTCTGCTGTCAGCATCTGCTACTAATGACAATGGTAACAGTGATAACAAAGAAGACAACAGCAATCTAATATATAATAGGGTATAGAAGAAATGGAGGACTCTTCATTGTCCTTTTATGTAAAAAAACAGCATGGATTGGCCTTTCACAAAGTAATCTAAGTTTGATTCTTGCTCAGAATCATCAGTTTTAAATCAATTTCATTCAGGGAAGATTCAACATAGCCAGAGAAAACATTCCCTTCTTAATCTTTTTCTCTATCCAAAGCTTTCACTGATGATTACAATAAGCCTCCCTAGATGGTGTTCAGTCTATTCCAGTGTCAATTTTCAAAGAAAATATTTTCAAGTTAGATCAAGAAGTTCGAGAGAAAGAATGAGATCTTCAGTGGGCTGTGAATCTTAGCAACTACCTTAGTGTGCTGGGATCCCACAACAGACCCATTCACTTTAAAACATACACATTCAATACTGACTGTGAACCCTTATTCAGTACTGATGGAACCCTTATTACTTAACTTCCCTTTCTATGGAAACGCTGCTGCTAGAGTCTCACATTCATCAATGTGGCCATATGATATCATTTACCTCCAAAGTGGAGGATGGAATTTGTCAGGTTAGTTTATAAACTTGACAGTCTAAAGGACTTAGTACATGAGATTAAAAACTTTTTTTTTTTTGTCAGTCATGGGCTTTGAACTCTGGGCCTGAGCGCTGTCCCTGCGCTCTTCAGCTCAAGGCTAGCGCTCTACCCCTTGAGCTACAGCACCACTTCCGCTTTTCTAGTGGTTTATTGGAGATAAGAGTTTCATGGACTTTCCTGCCCGGGCTGGCTTTGAACCGCGATCCTCACATCTCAGCCTCTTGAGTAGCTAGGATTACAGGCGTGAGCCACCAGCGCCCGGCTGAGAGATTAAAAAACTTTGGAGCTGTAATTCTGGAGTCATTTTAAAACAACAAAACAAGGAATTGGAAGGGATCTTCTAAGTTTTCTAGTGAAATGTCAGTCTCATTCTGAAACTTCTCAAATAGCCCTTGAGCCTATGTAAACAATAGATACAAAGAACCTCCCATGGAATCTAGAACATCTTAAATAAGCCTGTCTGCCTGAAAAATATGAGTCTAACTTGCAAGCTACAAACATGAACATGAACAACAATAACATTTCGGTAAAAAATTATGTCATTAAAGGAGCTGAGTACCTCACCTTTCTTGAAGCCGACTCTGGCTTTCCTCAAACATTTACTATCTCCTTTCCTCTCTTTTGCTTTCTCATGTTCCTCTCTGTGTTTTCTTATTTCTTCTCATTTTTATTATTTCCAGATCTCACATACTTGATACAAGAGTTTTCCTTACTGTGAGTAGCCATTCTACTTGTGGGGATTAGAGTCAAGATGAATTAATAAGGCTGATTCTAATCCTTAGAGACCTGAGGCCCAGGGATGAATGGGAGACAGTGGCTATAACCCTGTCAGTGCCAAAAGTTCCATTTATGGCTTTCCAAAAGCCCTCGCTCCACTATTATCAGCTTGCAGAGTGATGCTACAATTTAGCAATAAGTGGGAAATAATAATTTTTAAGATTCTCAGATATTTTTTGCATCAAATTCTGAAACAAATGACATAATGCAACCTGATATGAGATAATAGTTTACAACTAGAATATGAGAGAATAAAGAAGAATTTGGGGCTTATCACAGCATTATTCACCACAGCTAAGATATGGAACCAACCCAGATGCACCTCAATAGATGAATGGATCAAGAAAATGTGATATCTATATCTATATCTATCTATCTATCTATCTATCTATCTATCTATCTATCTATCTATCTATCTATATGTAATGGAATTCTATGCTTCCATCAGAAAGAATGACACCATTTGTTAGAAAATGGAAAGACTTGGAAAGAATCATATTAAGTGAAGAAAGCCAGACCCAAAGAAATATAGGTCCCATGGTTTCCCTTATTTGCAATAATTAGCATAGATCTAGGATAATCTTATCAGATGAGCAAAAAGCTCAAAAGCTATGTACATATGACCATGTAAGGTGATGCTAAGCTAAATGAACCCCAAGATCTGGACACAAGAGGTTTTTCTTTATTGTTGTTTTTTTTTAATGTACTCTGTGATTTTTTTATTTCTATTGTATGTTCTTCCCCCTATGGTATATCCCTGTTGTCATTGTATTTGATTTTGGCACCTTACATCTTTTTAAAAAATTTTGTTTTATTGAAAGATTCTTTACAGAGGAGTTACAGTAAGGTAATGAGTACATTTCTTGTCCAGCATTGTTACCTCCTCCTTTGTTGTTCTCCCACTATCATCTTCCCTTCCCCACTTCTCTCCCCTCCCCCGCCGCCCATGAAGTTGTAAAGTTCATATCCAATATAGTATCTTGTGGGTACCTGCTTCTTGTGTATATATATATTTATCTAATTTGAGGAAGGGAAGGGGAAACAAAATGCTGAAACAAGGACACAGGATGACCCATTGCAACAATGAAACTCACAAGAAATGAACTTTACAACTTGGGGGGTAGGAAGGAGTGGGGGAGGGAGGGATAGTAGGAGAAAGGAATGGGTAACAATGCTCAACAAGAAATGTATTCATTACCTTACTTATGTAGCTGTAACCCCTCTGTACAGCCTCTTTACAATAAAATAAAATTAAAAAAATAATTTTGGATAGCTGTACCTAATAAGAGGGATTTAGGGACATAAACTCTAGAAGAGCACAGAATGTACATTCTAAGATCTGGCAATGTCTGAGCTTATTTCTATACGTTATAATATAAAATGAGATCCAATTATTTTAGTTTCTTGCCTCAATATCACAAAATAAACAATAAATCCAAGGTTGTTACTCAGATCTTTTGCTTTTCCATTATGAACTTGAAACTGTGCCACAAAGTTCTTCCAAGCCAAAAAATGAAGGATGCATTGTAGACATAAACTGCTTTATTAAATGGCAAAATATGCAATGTATATCCTCAAAAAATTAAGAAAGTGAGGGATGAGTGGATTGAGAAGAGTGAGAAAATGTTGTAAACAGGGACAATGATCAAGATGCGCTGCATTTATAAGCTGCTTTGCTGGCAACTCCTTTGTACAACTACCTAAAAATAAAAACATTCCAAAAATTATTTGGAGAACTTCATCTGATTATAATAGACACTTTTTCTCAACAAATAAAGTCTTCTATACACTTATCAGCAATATTGACTTTCTAAATATCTTCCCTTTTTTGCAATTAATGACTTCAGAAGAAGTAACAGTAATTGCAAATAAAATTTAGCTAATTCACTAGTGAAATCCCTCACCCACTAAATATCTACGAAAACTAAAATTTATTTATACCTTATCATAAGAATAAGCTTTGTATCTCCACCTTTACACCTTCTCCTTTTTGTGAAAGTACCAAAAATAATTTTTATTTATTTCCCTCATTGGTGAAGAATGTCTTTGATGCCCTCCGCTGTACAATTTTCTGTTAATTTTAAGTCATAAACTCAATCTTGAAATCACAACAGATGATTAGAATGTGATAACAATGACCCCTGATATGCTCAATAGTTAGACCACCCATACAGAGATGTGAAGGCCAGGCTAGTGTCTGGTAAAACAGCAAGCTTGAATTATTTTTCAGAGCTAGTGTGTTATATCTAACCACCAGGGACTGCATATGCAGGCTCTCTTTTTCTCTGGTTTCTGGTTTGAATCAGTCACAATGGGAACTGAAAGGAAATTGTGATACAGCAGATCATGCAGCTAGATTAGTCATTCTCCTGACTCCTTACTTTGGCTCCTCTTGGAAGCTTCATCTCCATATGCAAAGGGAAAGCACAGGCCAGCTGCTCCCCTCACATGCTCCTTTTTCTGAGTTCTGGTAAACTTCTCTCCCTTGTCACAGCAAGTCTAGGGATGGCCAGAAAGAACCTACCTGAAACACAGTGTACATTTTCATCACTTTGACCATGTTTATAAGGACCCATCAACAGCCTCTTCTGAGTTTGACTTTTTTTGAGTATGAAATCTTTTTCCTAAAAGAAAGTCAATATAATTGGAAACTGTATACCTCTCTGGAACTTATTTTCCATCTGTTTCTGTTTATCATTAACACTGTCTCCAATCATATCATGTGTTAAAACTGAAAGATATATAACTTTTGCCTTCATGGGTTCCTTGTAAGAAGTCTGAGATCCTTTTACTTTGGGGTAGAGGATTGAACATCTGTTTTCCCCACAATGAAGTAAGATACTTTTTTTTTTTTTTTTTTTTTTTTGCGTATGTGGTGCTGAGAAATCGAACCCAGGGCCTCATGCATGCAAGGTAAGCGCTCTACCACTGAGCCACCTTCCCAGCCCTGATGGTTCTTTCTATGAGAACTATTACTGTGGTACAAAATATTGCAATAGCCACAACGTGTAAGACTGTTCATTTTAAACAGGCAAATGGATATTTCTTCGATCTTTGTTGGATCATTTCTGTATGTCTCGCTGTGGGATGAAAATTTGAACAACCCGTTTGCGAATCTCTTTGGTCTTCACACCATAGACAATAGGGTTCAGGGCGGGAGGTACAAGGAGATAGATGGTAGACAAGAGGATATGGGCGTAGGGTGATACATGGCCAAAACGGTGACTGAAAAATGAAAAGAAAGCAAGGATATAAAATTCCAGGAAGACAACGATGTGAGCTGTGCACGTGTTGAATGCTTTGATCCGTGCCTCTTTCTGGGGCAGACGAAAAACAGCTCGAAAAATCAGCACGTAAGAGATGAAAACAAAGATCATGTCAAAACCTAAAATTGCAAAAGCCACAAAGAGGCCATATGATTTATTCATGTGGACATCTTCCGCAGCCAGCTTGACTACAGCCATGTGCTCACAGTAAGAGTGGACAATGACCACGGAATGGAAACGGTGAAGTTGTTTGAGTAGAATAGGCAAAACCCCAACCAGTGTTGTTGCCCGAAATGCCACCATCAGCACCACTCGAAGGAGAAAAAGAGAGGTGAGGATAGACGTGTGCCTCAAAGGATTACAAATAGCAACATAGCGGTCGAAGGTCATGGCCAACAGGATGCCAGATTCCATGCCCTGTAAGGCGTGAATGAAGAAGAGCTGGGTGAGGCAAGCATCAAAAGCCATGGAGCGTGAACCAAACCAGAAAATGGCCAACATCTTAGGCGCGATGGCCACACAGAGACCCAGGTCAGTAGCTGCCAATACTGCCAGGAAGATATACATGGGTTGGTGTAGACTGCGTTCTGTTGGAATAATGATAAGCAACAAGATGTTGCCTAGAAGGGCCACCAGGCACAAGCTGAAGAAAGGAAATCCAATCCAAAATTGCACGTGCTCTAGTCCAGGTATGCCAATCAGGATCACCGTCTTGGGGGTCAGATAGGACATGTTGGTGTAGCTCATGGTGCCGGCAAATCCTAAAGTCATCGGTGATTTATGGCCTATTCAGAGAAAAATCATAGGAAGGAGAAGGGACACTCTCCTCGATTTTCTTCTCAGAACCCCAGAAAGATGGATGGAATGAAATCATATGACTTTAGATCTCTGGACATCGCTGCAATCAGCTTCTGAACTGACCTCTTAGATACATGGGTCTTTGTGATCCAGTGTTCATCCCCAAGACATTATATAAATGAAAACTTTGTTTTGGGAAGCATCAATTCTGCTGTCTCTGGAGTTTTCTCTGCTTGTGTCATAGATTGCAACTTTAACTCCTTTTCATATTTGTGTCAAAACTCCACATACACTTCATATTGAGTTAAATATCCCTGTGATCAAGTCACAATCACATAACCCTGTACTATTAGCTCAAGTCTCAGGATATTCAGGTATGAACAGCCCTATGCTGAATTTCTCCACTTTTGTGTGAAATACCTTTCCCCACTTGCTAGGAATTGACTTTCTATAGAGCAGTGAGGTTTCTTTGTTTTTCCACTACTTTGGAAGGACTTTTCATAATGATAATTCCATAGGTGTGCAGTATACTTGGAACAACTTCACACCCTACTCTGCATTTCCTTATTCCTTCTCCTTCCTCCTCTTCCTTTACAAACAGTGGTCAATGGATTTTGTTGTGGTATCAGTGTAGAAGTTATAGCAGCAGTGTCTGAGCATAGTTGATTGCGTTAATTCTGGTTCATTACTGTAAGAAAAGTCAGTGGAAGATTATAAAGGTATTCTTGGATCTTAAGGGAAGCAGAAAAATCAAGTAAAGAGAGAACATAAATAGGACATTATGTACACCACAAGTATTAGTTTACTGAATAACCTGTATAACTTAAATATTTTTGTTATGTTTACATGCCTCAGATTTAAAAACAGCAGAAAGGCTTTGGTCCTTATTATAGAGTTTAACTCAACTTATTTTATATTTACTTTATTAAAGTTTACTTTTATTGTCAAGATGATGTACAGAGGGGTTATAGTTACATACATAAGGTAATAAGTACATTTCTTGTTTAGCATTGTTAGCCCCTCCCTCATTTTCCCCCCACTTTCCTTCCCCCACAATGTCCCCTACTAAAGTGGTAAAGTTCATTTCCCAAATATTGTCTTGTGAGCATCACTGTTGCATTGGTTCACCTTTTGTCCTTTATCTTACCATTTTCTTGTTTACTTCCCATTCCCTAATTCAGATAAGCATATATACAATACACAGGGTACCAAGATCAAATACAGTGACAACAAGGAATAAACTATAGGGAAAAAGTAACAAATGAAAGAAAAAAGTAATAACTTCACATAGTACATTAAAAAGCAACAACAACAAAGAAAAACTTCCTGTTTCCGTATCTTGCAGTTCACATCACTTAGCATTATCTTACATGGTCATATATACATAGCTATTAAGCTATTGTCATCCTAGACATATACTATTATTACAAATGAGGGAAACCATAGAGTCTATGTTTCTTTGGGTCTGTTTTGCTACCAATTACCATTGGAAAAAAATTTGCCATGGTTGTATTATCACACTTCACATCTATCCCTTCATCTCTTAATCTATTTTTAATTTTTCTCATTCTCTTTCTTCGTCATATCAGTAAGTAAAGCCTATAACATTATTTACTCTCATCTTTTAACATATTTTGCTAACCAATTTGTATGCCTAAATTATATCAAAGTTTTTCCATCTTTTCATAACTGTGTCAAAGCCAAATAGGCTAACTAAATAGCATAATTCTTAATGCTTATTTTTATGTATTTTGCCTTGAAATGAAAATAAAAGGGTTACTTTGGCAAATTTATAGAAAAAGAGTATATTGGCTTGCAATCAAAAGGAATACATATGTGGGCATAATGGGAAATTACTCCGGTAATAATAAATAACATACTTTTGTAACTAACTTCCTATATGAACATCAGAGGCCACGAAAACCAGGGGGCCATGGTCAGTGAAATAAAGAGCTATATTATTTTAACTAATTTTGAAAGTAAAAACTGTCAACATTTTAAAAATAATTTTAATGTCAAAATTTTTGATACTCATATCAAATGAGGTTTGGTGGAGGAAGTAGAGAATCCCTAGAAATGATGACTGATAAGTGACACAAATTGTTCATATAAAACCTAATGGAGCTGAAAACAAAAGTAATCCTGTCTGAGGTTGTTATTTATAAGATGCTTAATAAATTTAAGAATAAAAGGAAAAATTAGTTTCCAGATCACCATGATAATAACATAATAATCCCATTAATTTTGTTCTCCATATTATAGTATATAAAACAATAGGATATTTATTTTGAAATGTAGGATGTTATCTAAAGCTGCATTTACTACTTGTTTCACTCTAAATGAGGAGAAAGTGTCATGGAACTCATTGGATAATTGGGAGGAATAAATATTATATAGGAAATGCTCAGCCTAAACTTTTCTATAGTTTTTTATAACTTTGCAGTGACCGGTAGGTGATACTTGTCAGAGCTGGTGAAGAACTCTGAAGATGAGAAGTGCTACTGCCTTATTGAGAAAATGTACACATTAAAGACAGTTCACTTTCATATTCTTTTGGCTATTTCTTATGTAAATGAGTCACTTAAATTTCAGATAAAAAAATGAAAATATCCCTTCCTTATTGTCCCAATTCTGGCGCATATAAGCTGCATTTTACTCATTTCTCCTGTTTTATTCTTCCACCTCTCTTCCCTTACCTCCCCTTTCCTGTGGGTTGAAATGGGATGAAAGTGTCGAAGGGATGACATGGATCAAGATAATTTATGTAGGGATGGGAAGGTGGTTCAGTGGTAGAGTGCTTGCCTTGCATGCCTGAGGCCCTGAGTTCCATTCCTCAGCACCACATAAGCAAAAAAGAAAAAAGCCGGAAGTGGCGCTATGGCTCAAGTGGTAGAGCGCTAGTCTTGAGCTGAAGAGCTAAGGGACAGCGTCCAGGCCCAGAGTTCAGGCCCCACAACAGGACCCCCCCCCCCAAAAAAAAGGATAATTTATGTACACATAAATTGCTTTGTTAAATTCCAAAAACAGCAACACATTACCTAAAAATCAAGAAAATTGAGAGAAAGAGCAGGATGGAAGGGGTGGTAAGAATGTGAAAAGTGGTGGTGCGGATCAAGAGGCACCAGATTCATAAACTCTCCTGTCAAAGGGAAACTCCTTTACGCAATTACCTAAAGAAAATAAAAATACTCAAAAAATGAAAACACTAAAAAAAAGAAATAATTGCCTCAAAATGTTCTTTAAGGATAGAATTTCTATAGTTGAGAGATGTTGCTCAGCTAGATCTGTAGCACTGGAAATTAGTGTAAGTAGATCACTCAACAAAACTCCACATCCAAGCATGTACTCCTCGGTGAAGTAAGTAAATTCCACCTCTTTAAAGTAGTTTAATGCAGACAAAGCATATATATATATACAGTATCTTTATCTGAGAGCAAAACATTTTCTCCTTTAAAGTCTTTCTAATTTAAATGGAAAAAAACATGAACAGGAGTGACAATTTTCTCAGAAAGCAATTTGAAATTGCATCTGTGGAAGGAAGGACATCCTGGCTTTCTATTACGATCATATCAGAAGAAAATCTTCAATGACTGGTTTCTGAATAGAAGAAAATGAGAAAAGAATAGGAAGATGTCATAAATAAAGATGGGACAAAGAGTAGGAGATAGTAAAGGCTGTGTCTCTGATGTAGCGGACACAGAAAAGCACTGGATGTCAGGAATTAGGATCTGAGCTGTATCCATTGTATTCACAGACTTACTCTTACTGATTTAATTTCTTTTAAAAAGCAATATTAGGTAAAGATCCTGAATACTTGATCCTCATTTGCTCCTATTACTAACTAATGATCTTGTGTCAATTAAGCTGATGGTACTAAATCACCTTTTCATTTCTTCCAGTTTTATATCATGAATTTAGTCCATTTCATATCCTGTTCATTAAAAAAAACCACCAACTTGGATCTGATAGAGAATAAAGTTGTGAGATGGAAAATTTCTTATTGAGTTTCTCAGATTTCTTCTAGTCTTTTCTCTTCCTCTTAAAAACTTGTTAAAATTAAAAATCCTAAGGTATTTATTGGTATCAACACACAAGGAAGAAACTCACCCAGGTGAACAGCTATCTGCAGCAGATCTTTTCTGGCTGATTTTGGAATTTGAAAGGCATTAATACCTAAGTGCCTTGCATCATCTTCCTTTCTTTTATTTATTTATTTTTTTAGGCTCCAAGCTTATCCCAGGTTAATGACCTGATCTCTAGAGAGGTTATTACAATTCTGAGGATTCTTTCTGTTTGGAGACAAAAAAAAATTCTTTCTTTGAGGATATATTGCTAGACGACACACCTTACCTCTTACCAACTATGTTTCCAAAGTAATGAGAATAGGGAAATACTGAATCACAGGCCCCTTGCAGAGAATGATGTGCCTGCAAACAAGGGAACTTTAGAAAAAAAAATCTGCAATAGGGAGAAGTCTTAGAATGGAAACTAAACATTCATTTCTAAATTTTAAACTTTGACCTATTGTAGCTATAAATCACATGCTATGCAAAGAACTACATTGTTGTTTCTAAAATTCTTTGAAAAGCTTGTAGCACTTTCCAGCTTTTGAGGGAACAGTGGTATTTTTTTCTTTTTTGTTCCTCACTAGCAAGATACTAAAGATCTTCACTGTTCAGGCTTGTTGAGAATGTACCATTGTCTCCTTTGCTGTTTTACTTGTTTATTTATTTTTAGAAGTAGTGGAATTGAATTCTAGGCCTCATGCTGACTAGTCAGGTGTTTTACCACTTGCATGACACTTCCCTCCCCCACCCCAACTCTTTTTTTTTTTTTTGCTATAGTTACTTTTAAATTTTAATGTTTTTGCTATCTTTTAGAAGTTGCAAATCAGTCTATAAGCACACTGCATCTTGATGGAAGCCATAACCATGATTCTCTGCTGCCCC